AAGCCACGTCCACAGCCGCTCTCTCCCCCCTTCCTTGCCACCGGCTGGCACGCGATGCCAGGGATTCTGCTTTTCTCTGATAAAAAAAAAATCTCCGATTTTCAAATTAAAAGCAGGAACCCCAAATCCAGAGTTTACCATGATCAAAATGAGACGCCACTTATATTCAAAATGAAATGCCACTTATTTATAATATAAGTGGCATTTCATTTTGATCACGGAAGAATGTGGATTTTGGGTTACTTTTTTTAAAGTCTGAAAATAGTTTCTTTTGGGTTTTTTTATCAGAGAAAACCAGGATCCCTGTTGATCACGGGTGGGTAGCAGCCTCCACGGGCCGCCGGCACCCAGGGATCTAAGGCCAATTAGAGGCTGGTCCCATCAGTAACGAGCATCTTGTATTCCTCCCCGCCCAGTGCTGAACAAGGGGCAGGTGGTGACCCGATACTACCGCTGGCTGCAGAAGAACGGGGGCTTCGTCTGGATCCAGTCGTGCGCCACCATCTCGGTGAACGTCAAGAACCCGAGCGAGAGGAACATGGTCTGGGTTAATTACATCCTCAGGTAGGACACGGGCAAGGGTGCCGGCGTGGCTAGGCTGTGCGCTGGGGAAACTGAGGCACAGCTTCTGGGTCACTACAAAGACCTCAGCACTACCACAGCAGGACGCTGTAGCTCTGGGTGAATCGAGTGCATCACGTGTTGGTGTTTACACACTTACTGGTGCTCACAGAGCTGTTGAAGGGATCCCGGGGCATCCCCCGTTGAGAACCCCCTGCCCTAGCCCTGCTAAATCAATGGCCGGTCGCTCCTAAATCCCTGCGAGGCTCTGGCTCTGGCTCTGGCTCTGCCCTTCTGAGGAGGGTCCCAGCCACCACATCCCACCTCCACCTGCGCAGCAGACCCGACCCAGAATTATGCTCTGTCTCTGTCAAGGGTTTTTTTTTTTTTAAATATATAAAATAAATTAATATATGAATGACTACAACAGATGGTTATTAATGGCTGTTTTTTTTCCCCTGCTAAAGCAAAAGGAGGTATTATTATGCTAATCCTCCAAGTAATTACAGATACCAATGTATGATTTGTCAGGGTGATTAGTATTTTAGTTAATTAGTGCTGTAATTACAGAGACTAATTAACTTTCTCTCAGCCTTCCTGGAATGGAAACTTATTT